TTTTCAGTACCAAAGCAGAATTTAGTAACGTTCCCTAGTTATGTTTCAGAAGTTTTATTACGTCACGAAAAAATCTATAGCAAACAGTACATGGAATATTTAAGGCCAATGGTACTAATTTGTTTACATGCTAATAACGTCGTTAACTTTTCTGCAAAAAAAAAAATCCGAAAACCACTGACGGGAAATGAACCTGTTTGGTTTGATGCCAAGTGATGGTCCAATTTTAATCTGAAACGGGGAAGAAAATTGCTTGATGTGGAGATAGAGTTTCTGTAGGCAGCCATGGTTGTAAAAAGACGTGTGTGTGTGTGTGTAGAGAGAGAACGTGTGCTTCTGAAGAAATGTCCACTATGACTTTGCATTTAGACCTGTGTAAAATTACCTGCTGCTTTTAAGACCACATCCATCCAAACGAACTGAAAGATTGTGAATGTTGCATTTCAAAATTAAGCTTTTTACACTTTTTACACTTTGTTTTTAATAAAAAAAAAATCTCATTATTTTTCATAACGACATGATATTTCGTATCAACCGTAAGGTGTATTGACGATTAAAATTGTTTAACAGCAGTTTACCGGAAAGTAGATTATCACATACTTGGTAGAAAAAAAAAAAAAAATTGTGTTTAAAATTTAGAAGCCGTACGATGGTGGACATCTGGGCGTGGGGGCAACGGTTGACTTCGTGTTCGACTTCCTGTAAGGGAAATAGTGTACATTCCATACTCTAACCCTTCTCCCCAATGGCCCGCTGTAATAATATACACTCCACGGTGAAACTCTGCCCTGGAGGGGAAGTTCATTCACATCTGAGAACGCTTAGAGTCGTATCATTTTTCTTTCTTGCCTCTGGTCTATATGTATGGTGCTAATTTTGACCCTACCATATGTTGTATAAACAGTCTACACCAGTGGGTCTCATTCAAGGACCTTGGTTTGTGCATAGTCCTTGTGGTTTTGACCTAATTCTTAGCTAAATGACTCAATTTTTACACAACAAAAATAGTCCTTAAAACTCGATTGTCTGTACAATGTGTTTTTTTTTATTTATTTCTGAGGCCATAATTGTACCTTTGACCTCTCTATAATTACCAATATAAAGTGGCACTTTATTAAGGAAAAGGAAGAGGTGTATTAATAGAATTATCCAGACCTTCAACCCAGTGTTTTAAACCTGCAACTCACTATTGGGTCCCAACTTGCTACCTACGTAAACATGTAAAGCGTAATTATGGTCAATTAATATCATGGCCACTTTCAAGGTCAGAATGCGGGCCGTGGGAACAGTCTGTTCCAGAATTGTTTGACACTGATGCTTTGTCCAGCTTTGTCCGATACCAATACTGTAACTTGGAATATCTGCCAGTACCGATATCTATCCGATACCTTCTTTTCTCCTCGAGCATGCCGCAAACTGAAAGTCCTGAGGCGATAGTGTCCCTGTTTATGGAATGTCGCTTACGGCAAGTTAGGTTAAGCATTTGGACTTAGGTATCGGAAGTAGTTTTTCTTTTCTTTTTTTTTTTATGTTCTATTATATCTGTACTGATACTGAGCCTGGGTATCGTATTGAGTAATTTTTATTTCACACCCTCTCCATCAAGGATGTAATGTTTATTTACTTGCGACGATAACTGAGACGATGTTTCGCAACCCAAAAAAAAAAACAAAACACAGCCGACTCAAGAAAAAGGCTTTAAATGGCAGCCGACCGTCTCGAAGTTGCATTTCCAAAAAGGAAACGTTTCCCAAGTTTTTCCAAAGTTCAAAAGAAATAAGAAAGAAATTCTCCCACTAGAATAAATCAGGGAAGTCATTTGTATGGTATGTGAACTAGAAGTGCGACGGGAAAAAGGCTTAAAATCAACATTTAATAAGACGAAAATACCTTTAGAATGTATTACACGCGAGCAAAAAATAAGCCTTTGTTTAGAAAGGTAATTCCTTGGCTTGATTTTAAAGCTGCAGCGTGACAGTATTTTTAGCTCTTAGCAGACCGAGAAATAGCCCAGTTGTGTTTGAGTTGAAGAAACAGTGCTGGGCCGGCTTTTTTTTGGATCAGCGACGATTATAATCGTAATGACTGGATCCTTTTCATGTGGTTCGGAAGACAAAAAAATGGTTGTGTTTTTCTCCGGTATTTGCAAAGCAATCGCTCTGAGTGATTTACAAATTCCTCGCATGCACTCGGAAGCACTGTTGTGGTTTCTCTGAAAATGGGCAGCGATTCAGATTTCTGCTCGGCCTCGCACACGAACGCACCAAGGTTAGCGCGCGAACTTAATCCTCCACCGTTAATCCCTTCGTGATCCTTGTGT